ATTTTCAAATCCATTCCATAAAGAAATCTTTTGGGGGGGTGGGGGAAGAGGGGAAGAACATGTCTGGATCTGTGATTTCATCTGTATAAGGAACACTCAGTCATTCAGTAAGCATTTATTAAGTTCTTACCATATGCCAGGCACTATGCTAAGCTCTGGGGATACACAGAAAAGCAGAAGCAGGGTTCCTGTTCTCAGAATGCACATATTCCCAGTGAGGAATTTCCCTCACTTTCAACCAATGCAGGTCTGTACCTGTTCTGCAATATTAGTTTCTTAGGTCCCTGAGAGTTGAACAGGGTCACCTAGCAGCAGTACATACAAGAAGCAGGGTTTGAAGTCTCCGTGACATTCTGTCCACAGTGACAATTTGCCTTTCTAAAATGATCATTATTATCAATCCTAAAGCTACTGAATTTTCATATATTTACCATCTTTTCTATTAGTTATAATTAAGAAATAAAACATTAAATTTTTGGTTCTTCTGTTTCATTTTCTAAAAAGGTATTTGCTAATTTTAGTAGTTAATTGTAAAGCAGAGTATGGTTGCGTCCAGAATTAACTTGTGTAATACTGTTGGATGTGAAATGATGTTTATTTTTAAATAGTACCTTATTCTACCTTATCTGTAGAAAACACATTAATTCCATAATACTTGAAGTCTACATCTACCCAAGAATGGAGTGTGACAAATACTGACAATGTAGAAATAATTTTTACTTAGCTTTGGAATTTTTTGTACCATATTTTAGTTCATTTAACAAATACTTAGGAGCACCTACTATATACAAGATACTAGGCCAGGCATTGAGAAAATATAGAGATTAGTAAGACAAGGCCAGTGCTGTCAAAGAATCTTAGAAGAACTAAGGTCTGTACACAAGTATAAACCAAAATATGCTCGTGATGCATGTGAAAATGGGTACATCCATTCATGCCACCCTCCTATCCATTAAATTCCTAGAGCTCTCTATCTCCTCCAGAATCAAATACAAAATCTTCTGTTTGTCAGTCAAAGCCCTTTACAGCCTGGCCCCCTCTCCTGGACCTTTCCAGTCTTCTTACACCTTGCCCCCTCCCCCCACCCTCATGTACTCTGTGATCCAGTAACACCGGCCTTCTTTGCTATTCCTTATATAAGACACTTCACTGCCAGCTCTGGGTGTTTTCACTAGCTGTACCCCATGCCTGGAATACTGTCCCTCCTAATTTCCACCTCCTGGCTTCCTTCAAGTCCCAGCTAAAATCCCATCAACTATAAGAAGCCTTCCTTGATTTTTCTTAATGATATTGCCTTCCCTTTATTGATTGTATAATTATCTAATGTCTCCCCCCATTAGACTGGGAGTGTCTTAAGAGCAGGGACTGTCTTTTGATTTTGTGTCACAGGGGCTTAGTATAGTGCCTGGCACATAATAAATAATTATTGATTGATTGATGTTCACAATACCATAAGAGCTCAGAGAAGGAAGAGATCGCTTACTGAACGATGCCTTCATGAAGGAGATCGTATTTAAACTAGTTAGCATTTTATCAGGTGGAGGTGAGAACATTTTAGGCTGAGAGAACAATGAAGGAAGTCATTAATTTCAGAGAGTCATATTTTAGTCCTTTTCAGACACAAAAGCAGAAAACAAATTACATTATGTCATTGGAATAGTATGAGTTAAGCCTGAAAAGATGGATTAGAGTTAGATTATAGAGGGTTTTTAATTGAATTCCAGACTTAAGATGATTTGACAATGAGGAACCATTGAAAGGCTTTTGAGTGAAAAGCCATCAGCACATACTCTACCAAAGGTTAACATAGCATCAGCATGTAGGATAGATTAAAGGAAATGGAGAGGCTAGTTACAGGATTGTTGTAACCCAGTCTAAAAAGTGGTGCCACTGAGAATTGAAAAGCAACAGATATAGAAGATATAGGCGTATTTTAGGTTCTAGGAATTTAACAAATTTTGAACAAGACATTAGAATCATGTTGTAATGACCTAGCACAGAAAGAGCCCAGAAACTAATTCGCTCTTGTCTGCAGCTCTTTTCATCTTTGGGGATATATATTAACAGCTCTCAGATTAATGAAAGCAGAGCTGTCCTGTCTTCCTATCTCAGCATTTCCCTGGACTGGGAAAGTAGTTATGTGCTTTGATTTCAAAGACCTATTCAGCTAGATTGAAGGTCAGATGAAATGTACATAAAGCATTTAATTAGGCAAAGGATTGTCTTAGTTGTCAATAAAAATTTGAAAGCAAGATTTCTTATGGATAAAGTAATAGGTCATAATCAAAAGTTCCCTAAAATCCCCTTTTCTCTATACTGAGTGCTCACTGATCTTTATTGATTCATTAATCGTTGACATAGGTAGGTTACTACTATTAGATTTTAGAGATTAAAAAATTGAGAAAGTTGCATTGAATGGGTATACCATGTTGAGGACTTTATAGCTAAAGTTTGTCTCTGGGCTTCAATTCATATGTTGCTCTTTAGCTAAATATCAAAATTACAAATTCCCTTTGGGAAAAGAAAGATTTTAATCATAATAGTACAATTATATAAGTGATGTAAGTTTGAAATAAATATACAGCTTCATTAGAGATTACTTTTGGGGGAAATTCTTTTATTTGCTTCTATTTATGAAAGACAAATCACTATAATTTCTATATTAAGACAAATTTTGTTGAATTTTAAAAATCTGTTCTTTATCTTGGTAATATTAGATGTCACTAAATAAGTTTATGTAAGAATTGTATAATTATAAGCTGCTAAAAAAAAACCTTTCGCTTAGATTACCTCATTTTTAAATACTGACTGTAGAAAAAAATAATGATCACTCTTAAGAATTTTTAAAGACTACTGTGGTTTCTGGATCTGAATAACTATAGGATATATAAATGGGATTGGCAACAGAAGGAGGATCTTTATGGATTATACAGTTATGTGAGTCTTGCCAGTGAGAAAGAGCATGCTGCTTTTAACTCTAGGTTATATTAAAAAAAAAATCAAAAGTAATATCTGTTGAGTGCATATTAGACAAGTACTTTTTTTTTTTTAAACAAGCACAAGGAAAACAGTCTAGTCAGTAGTTCACATTTATGTATTCCTTTGGAGTTGTCATAGATCTTTGTACTTTTAAAAGTTGTTAAGTCTTTCACTGTTAATTAGTATTACAGTATTGCTATTACTTTGTCCATTGTGTTCTCCTGGTTCTCTTGACTTTACTTTGCATTATTTCATGTAAGTCTTCCTGGCTTTTCTGAAACCATCCCTTTTATCATTTCTTACAGCCCAACAATATTCTATCACAACTTGTTCAGCCATTCCCCAGTGGGTATCCCCTTAATTTCCAATTCTTTGCCACCACAAAACAAGCTGCTATAAATATTTTTGTACATATAAGTCTTTTTTCCTTTTTTGTTTTTAATCTCTTTGGGATACAGACCTAGTAGTGGTATTGCTGGGTCAAAGGATATGCCAAGTTTTATAGCCCTTTGAGCATCGTTCCAAGTTGCTCTTGGTTCTCTATGTATTTGAGAAACGAGTCAAGAAAAACATGAAATGGGGGGGGGGTGAAATTTCACAGCCAGTTTCATGTTTTTCTTGACTCTTTATTTGTAAATAAGTTTACCAAATGGTAAAATTAGCCAAGGCTTTTCCTTATATAAAGTGCAATGGCACTTCATCTCCACCATCTCAAATAGAGACGATGGAGAAGAGGCTTATACTTTTGAAGCCTGGAAAGATTTTCAGTTTCCCTCTCTGATTTTATGAAGATCGTGAACTCTGTGGTGTGGTACTGAAGGTTGTATTGTATATTTTCTTCCCATCTGTTACTTTGTGTTATGTGACAATCTTAAGCTTTTTCTGTTACCTTGTCCTACTCTCATGGCTCATCTTGGCATGTAGGTGGAGATCTGAGAGCATAGACCGGAAATGTCAAACACAAGGCCCACATGAGTGCAGCCTGAACCAGATTAATTTGTAATTGAAAAATATTTAACTAGACATGGAAACACAGGTCATGCATTTTAAAATGAAGTCAATATGCAGCTCACAGGGGGTCCTTGTGTATGCGTTAGTAGCCCCCATTTCTGTTTCGGTTTGATACCGCTAGTGTAGACATTACAGACCCTAAAGGATAGATAGGAACTTTTCTGACCCTTGCCTGTTTGCCTGAAGAAAAATCTCTATGTAATGTCCCTGACCAGCCATCATCTGGTATTGCCTGAAGACTTGTATTAGGCAGAACCCCCCCCCCCTTTTTTGTTGTTGTTTAGGCAATTGGGGTTAAGTGACTTGCCCAGGGTCACACAGCTAGTACGTGTCAAGTGTTTGGTCTGAGGCCGGATTTGAACTCAGGTCCTCCTGACTTCAGGGCCGGTGCTCTATCCACTATGCCACCTAGCTGCCCCTAGAACCCCTTTCTTAAGTAAGTCTGTTGTCTCCTAATTGTTGGACATTTTTACTTATGAACTTAAACCCAACTCTGCAACTTCATCCTTTGTTAGTTCTGCCTTCTGGACCAAACAAAGTAATTATTAATTCTACTTCTAGATGATATTAACTGATAGTAGAGGCAAGGTTGTTATTTTTAAAGAAAATGTATTTTTATGATTGAAAATTTTCTATATTTCTATACTGCTCTGAAGAATATTGAATTTTGAACTAAATCTAATAAAATAATTTTTTAAATAACTGGGGATAATCTCTAACCAGAATAAATATAAAATATAGCTTTTATCAAGAACAGTTCCTTTCAAATGACAGCATATAACAAGTATCTAATTTGCTGTGCTTGAAGATAATTTGACTAATTCTGGTGAGAATTCATTAATATAAATAAATTTGAAATTGTTATCTGAAGTGTATAGATCATCTACCCTGGTACTTGAGATATTTTGTTGGCTTTGATTTTGATGATGGAGGGTATTGTTATAGCAGATCTAGAGAACAAGCAAAATATGATACTAATGATGGTTTTTTTCCCCCTTATCTACTAACAGGGAAATGACAAATTGAACTGAATGTGAAAAATGTGTGAAGATTAATAGGTTATATCTCTCCTCTTCCCCCTCAAAATTTTTAAAAATCAATGGGAAATGTGTGAACAAATCAGCATTGAAAGAGGAATATTGTCAATGGCTTCACCGTCTCTGCGCCCAGAATCAACTAAGACTCATTTGATAAAGGGGAAAAAACAGCAGCAGCAGCATCACCAACATGAGGACAGATCCTCAAATAGAGATGGTGATGGGGAAGAATCTTACACGTTTGAAGCCAATGAAGCTTGGAAAGATTTTCACAGTTCACTCCTACGGTTTTATGAAGATGGTGAACTTTGTGATGTGACGCTAAAGGTGGTATTGCATATTTTCTTCCCATCTGTTACTTCATGTTATGTGACAACCTTAAGGTTTTTTTTGTTACCCTAGGCTACAGTTACGCCTCATCTTGGTACGGAGATGACCCCTAGGTTCAGGAATGCCCACGCCAGCGTAGTAAGAACTATGGTAGGGCTAAGCCAATGGCACTCTGGTTTTTGGGGTTTTTTTGTTTGTTTGTTTTTGTTCACAGAACAGTATTCTTTGCCATGAGAAGTTGGAACACTGAATGTTTAAACCGATGACAAGGGTTCCTGGGCAGTCAGGGCTTCATACTCTTTACCCAGACCTTGGGATATCTCTGCCTTGTCTTTTTCTTTTCTATTCCTTCATTTCCCCAGGACTCTAAGGAGAGGAGGTACTTTATATCTCCTCAGATAGAACTCCTATTATGACTTTCTTGCCACCTAGCTAGCAGGCACAAGTTTCAACTAGGGATAGAGTCTAGGAGTGCAAATCCTGGGAGTTGGGGAAGAGTAGCAGGAGACTGAGCAGTAATATAATGCAGGACACTCTAAGCTCGAAAGTCGAAGTACTTGCAGTGGACAGTGTGTCTATCATACAAGGATCAGCGTAGCTAAAATGAAAGGGCTCTTCCCCAGAAGATGCCATCTGAACATACTCTGAGACATAATTCTTACTTTAATAAAAAAAAATTTTTTTTAACATGTATGAATATAATTAATAGAAACGGAATCTTGCCTCCATTATCAGTGGGGATGCTGTAGAGGAGAAGTGGCACTTATCTTGCATATCCTTGCCCTCTTCCTCTCTCCCACTCTCCTCTCTTCCTTTCTTCACCCGAGTACCCCCAGATCAATGGGAAATGTGTGAACAAATCAGCATTGAAAGAGGAAGTATTGTCAATGGCTTCACCATCTTTTTCTTCCCTCAGATTTTCCTGGAGCACTTTCTCTGACCTATACTTTGCTCTTGAAACTTTCCTCCTTGTATTTATACTTATCTATGTAGATGTTATGTCCCTAATAGAATATATAAGTTGCTTAGGAGCAGATAAACTTCACTGTGTCCCTTTTATCTTTCTGTGTGGTGGCACCTATGCATTACATATAGTATACACTTAAATGTTTGTTGAAAAAGAAATACTTTTTTCCTAAACTTAGAGCAATTAATAACATTTTTAATGTTCCTAGAAATCTGACGTTGGAGCTAGATACTAATCTTTTTTTTTTTTTTTTTTTGGCCATGCATCTCGTCTTTATTTATGAAACTGATATTTTCATTCCAAGTAAAAATATCATACCCTGTCAAAATATTTAACAAAATCTTCACTTTATTATACAAAGCATTCACCACCTTGGCTATATGTCATCTATATATTTATTAAGCATGCCATCTGTGTCTATATCCTATTAATTGATAAAACATTTTGAAACATCACATCATAAAGCACAGATCCTTTGTGCAGTCCAATAGAGCTGTCTTTTTTTTATTTTTATTTTTTTTAGGTTTTTTTAATATATATATTTTTATTTTAAGTTTTCAATATTTACTTCCACAAGATTTTGAGTTCCAAATTTTCACCCCATCTCGCCCCTCCCCCCCACCCCAAGATGGCATGCATTCTGAATACCCCCTCCCCTAGTCTGCTTTCCCTGCTATTTCTCCCCCCCCTTCCCCTTCTATTTTCCTATGGGGCAGGATAGATTTCTGTACCCCATTTCCTGTATTTCTTACTTCCCAGTTGATTGTGAAAACATTTTTTTTTAAACATGTGTTTTTTAAACTTTGGGTTCCAAATTTTCTCCCTTCCTCTCTCCCCACCCACCCTCATTGAAAAGGCAAGCAACTCAACATAGGCTGTACATGTGCAGTTATGCAAAATACTTCCGTAGTAGACATGCTGTGAAAAACTAACTTTATTTCCCTTAATCCCATCACATCCCCCCATTTATTCAGTTCTTTCTTTTGACCCTGTCCCTCCTCAGAAGCATTTGCTTCTGATTACCCCGTTTCCTAGTCTGCCCTCCTCCTCTATCATCCCCCTCCTCTCTTGTCCCCTTCCCCTCCTATTTTCCTGTAGGGTAAGACAGATTTCCATACCCAATTGAGTGTGTATGTTATTCCCTCCTTAAGTCAAATCCTATGAGAATACGACTCACTCATTTTCTCTCACCTTCCCCTGGTTCCTCTCCACTGTAAGAGCCTTTTCTTTTTTGTTTTTTTGTGAGATAATCTACCCTATTCTACCTTTCCCTTTCTCCTTCTCCTAGTATAATCCTCTCTCACCCCTTAATTTTATTCTCCAGTTATGACCCCTTCATCTTCAACTCACCCTGTGCCCTCTATCTATCTATCTATCTATATCTATATGTATATATAGATAGATAGATAGATAGATAGATAGATATACATACATATAATTTTTTCCCTCCAACTACCCTAATACTGACAAAGGTCTCATGAGTTACAAATATCATCTTTCCATGCAGGAATGTAAATAGTTCAACCTTAATAAGTCTCTTACGATTTCTCTCCTGTTTACCTCTTCATGTTCCACTTGAGTCTTGTATTTGAAAGTCAAATTTTCTGTTCATCTCTGGTCTTTTCATCAAGAATACTTGAAAGTCCTCAATTTCACTGAATGACCATTTTTTCCCTTGAAGAATTATACTCAGTTTTGCTGGGTAGGTGATTCTTGGTTGTAATCCTTCGATACTAATTTTACTGTGTTGTGATATGTCATTGATGTAATCTCAATTTTCAACAGAAAGTTTCTAAATTTAACCTATCAGCTGGTTAGCCTGTCTGCTTTTATTTAAATTTTCAAGTTAAGTCAGCAAATGTCGATTAAGCTATTACTTTGTGCCAGTCACTGTGCTCAGCACTGGGGATACAGAGAAAGGCAAAAACTCCCTGCTTTCAAGGATCTCACATCATAACCAGATAGGAAACATGCAAACAACTATCTACATGTATACAGTGCGTAAAGGATAAATTAGAGATAACTTAGATGCACTGAGGGGACTGGGAAAGGCCTTTTGCAGGTGGTGAGATTTTAATTGACACAACTGAGACTGGAGACATCAAAGAGGAGAGAGAGCATTCTGGGCTTGGGGGACAGCCAGTGAAAATGCACAGTGCATCCCCATGTTACCAAATAAATGAAGAAGAATAATGTGTAACAAGCTGGAAAGGTGGCAGGGGCCAGGCTACGAAAGGCTTTTAAAACCAAACAGAGGATTTTCTGTTTTGATCCTTTAATAGGGAGCTATTGGAGTCAGTTGAGAGACTGTGAGGAGGGAAACATGGTCACACCTGAGCTTTAGATCTTCAGTAGAAAAGTCCTCCATTACTCTTTGTTTTCCACTGACCACTATTGAATGCTCGTGCTAAAGAAAAGTAACATCTCTTATTTTTTAAGATGAGCTTTTTCTTAAAAAAATATTTTTCCAATTACATGTAAAAACAATTCTTATTATTTGTTTCTTAAAACCTTAAGTTCCAAATTCTCTCCTTCCCTCTTTCTACTACCCCATCCCTTGAGAAGGCAAGCAATTTTATATAGGTTATACGTGTGCAGTCATGCAGAACACATTTCCATATCAGTCACATTATGAAAGAAAACACCAAAAAAAAAAAAAGATAAACAAGAAAAATAAAGTCAAAAAAAAAGAAAGTATGCTTACGTTTGTAATCGGACTCCGTCAGTTCTTTCTGCAGAGGTGGGTGACATATTTTCATTATAAGTCCTTCAGAATTGTCTAGAATCATTGTGTTCCTGAGAGAATAGCTAAGTCGTTCACAGTTCCTCTTAACATTATCGTGTACGCTGTTCTGTTTCTGCTCACTTCACTTTGCCTCACTTCATGTAAGTCCAGGTTTTTCTGAGAATATCCTGCTCATCCTTTCTTATAGCATAATAGCATCCCATCACAATCATGTATCACAATTTGTTTAGCCATTCCTCAATTGATGGGCATCCCACTCAATTTCTGATTCTTTGCCACTACAAAAAGAGTTGCTATAAACATTTTTGTATGTAGGTTCTTTTCCTTTTTGTTTTTAATCTCTTTGGGATACAGACCTAGTAATGGTCTGGGTCAAAAGGTATGCATAATTTTATAGCTCTTTGGGTGTAGTCCCAAATTGCTTTCCATTCACAGTTCTACCAGCAGTTCATAAGTATCCAGTTTTCCCACATTCCCTCCCAAATTTGTCATTTTCCTTTTCTGTCATATTAGCCCATCTGATAAATGTGTAGTGGTACTTCAGAATTGTTTTAATTTGAATTTCTCTAAATCAGTAGTGACTTAGAGCATTTTTTTATATGACTGTAAACTATGAACTGAAAACTATCTGTTTATCAATTGAGGAATGACTCTTATTTCTATATATTTGACTCGGTTTTCTATGTGTTTGAGAAATGAAGTGTTTATCAGAGAAACTAAACTCACTGTAAATTGACTATGATAAGATGATATCTAAAAGAATAAAATTAAGAGATGAAAAAGAGGGAGGCATTGGGAGAAGGGGGAAGGCAGAGGTGGAATGGGGTAGATTATTTAACATAAAAGAGGTGTAAAAGGAAGAGCTTTGACAGTGGAGGAAAGATGGGAACTGGGGGTGGTAGACATTGTCTGAACCTTACTCTCACTGGAGTTGGTTCAAAGAAGGAGTAACGTGGGCGGTCAGTTGGGTATAGAGGTTTATCTTATCCTACAGGGACGTAGCAGGGGACAGGAATAAGAGAAGGGTGGGTGGGGATGACGAAAGGGAGGGCAGATTGAGGGTGGTGGTACTCAGAAGCAAAACACTTTTGAGGAAGGACAGGTTGAAAGGAGAGACAGAGGGAAATATAAATGAGAAAAATAGGATGGAGGGGCACACCCTTACTGTGAAAAAATTTTTACAGCAAGTTTTTCTGATAAAAGTCTCATTAGAATATGAGTCATTCCCTGATTGATAAGTGGTCAAAAGAGATGAAAAGGCAGTTTTCAGACAAAAGGTATCAAAGCTATCTGTAGTCATATGGAAAAATGCTATAAATCACTATTGATTAGAGAAATTCCCTTAGGCTTTTTCTTTCCTGTTTCCCTATTTATGCTTCTCTTGAGTCTTACATTTGAAAGTCAGATCTTCTATTCATTTTTAGTCTTACCATTAGGAATGCTTGAAAGTCCTTTGTTTCACATGCCCCCTTAGCTTTGGCAGGGGAAGATGAGGAACAAATTGACTGCCGGTTACATATGATTTCAGACTTAGTAGATACACTGGCTGGCTTTTTGGAATGGGTGTTTTTCCTTTTTAAATCTTTGTTATAAGGGAAATCTCCCTGACTAGAGGAAGTAGAGAGGAAGCTGGCAGCTAAGGGAGTACAGAACCTGGAGTTGGGTAGTTTGGATCTGACCTCACACACTTACTAGCTATGCGACCTGTTTGCCTCAGTTTCCTCATCTGCAAAATGGAGATCATCATAGCTGCAGGGTTGCTGTGATGACAGAATGAGGTGACACATGTAAAGTGCTTTGCAAACTTTAAAACCTCATAGAAATGCTGGCAGTTAGTAAAATATGTCTGGACATGAATGTGCTGTAAAATGGAAAGGCATCAATAAATTTTAAAAAGCCAGCTAGAAAGAGACCATGAGGAGCCTTTCGTTAAAAGAATTCCCAAAAAGAAGGTGGTCAGGAGGTGCTGACCAAGTACAGCACTGCATGGGCATTGGAGAAGGAAAGAGATACTCCCACATGAGAGCGTTCTCTGAATCCCCAAGAAAGATGGACCCTCGGTGGAGGAGGAAGCTGGGAACCCAGGTGTGAAATAACAGAAGGTCTAAAACACCCAGAGGTATTCTGACCTCAGAGTCAGCTGGGATTCCAGCATAATCCTTCCACAGTCCAGTTGCTTAACAGCTGGTTCTATGTCCAGGGCAGAAAAAAAGAACAAGCCACAGGATGTAGAAATGCAAAACTGAGACTAACAGGAAGAACCATGGTTTTGCAAGGAAGAAGGAATAAGACCAATTAAGTGGAACAATGATAGAAGAGAGAAATGATGCAGGCAATTAAAATGAAAGAGATGCCAGCTTTAAAAAAAAAAAAAAAGGTACCACACTGTCACCAGGAGGAGATTCAGAATTAACTTTCCATCTTTGCGGGAGCCTCACCTAATTCAGTAGTATAAATCATACAGTTTGTATAAGCCCTTGTAGGAGGGTGACCTTTGACATTCTATGGGATTACATTTAAGTCCTTATTGTATAAATAAAATAGTTCCCTGTTTTGAAAAAAAGAAAGTCCTTTGTTTCATTAAATGCCCATTTTTCCCCCTGAAAGATTACTGTGTTTTGCTGGGTAGGTAATTCTTGGTAGTAATCCTAATTCCTTTAGCCTCTGGAATATCACATTCTAAGCCCTCTGATCCATTAATGTAGAAGCTGCTAAATCTTGTGTTATTTCTTTCTGGCTCTTTGAAGTATTTTCTCCTTGACCTGGGAGCTCTGGAATCTGGCTACAATATTCCTGGGAGTTTTCATTTTGGGGTCTCTTTCAAGAGGTGATTGGTGGATTCTTTCAATTCCTCTAATTCTAGGACATCAGGGCAGTTTTCCTTCATAATTTCTTGAAAGGTGATGTTTCCACTCTTTTTAATCATGGCTTTCAGGTAGTCCAGCAATTCTTAAATTTTTTTCTCCTCGATCTTTTTTCCAGGTCAGTTGTTTTTCCAATGAGGTAGCTTATATTTTCTTCTATTTTTTTTTTCATTCTTTTGATTTTTTCTTGATGTCTTATAGAATCATTAGCTTCCACTTGCCTAATTTTAATTTTTAAGGAATTGGTTTCTTCAGTGAACTTTTGTACCTCCTTTTCCATTTGGCTGATTCTACTTTTAAGGAGTTCTTTGTCTTCAGTGAATTTTTGTAAGTCTTTTCCCATTTGGCCAATTCTGTTTTTTAAGGTGTTATTTTCTTTAGTATTTGTACCTCTTTTACCAAGCTGTTGACTTGTATCACTCTTATTTCTTTTCCCATTTTTTCCTTTATCTTGTTTGATTTTTAAAATTCATTTTTGAGCTCTTCTAGGAATTCTTTTTGGGCCTGAGACCAATTCACTTTTTCCTTGAGGCTTTGGATGTCGTAGCTTTGACTGTGTTGTCTTCTGAGTTTGTGTTTTGCTCTTCCCTGTCCCCATAGTAACTGTCTTTATCAGATTCTTTTTTGTTGATGTTTGCTTATTTTTCCTGCCCATTTCTTGATTTTTAACTTTGGAGTTGGATTCTACACCTAGGGTGGAGGGGGCACTGTCCCAAGCTTCAGGGTTTTTTTTGTGCAGCTGTTTTCAGGGCTAGTTCTGGGAGTCTGCAAGTTTGTAGTTCTACCAAGGTGGTATGATCTAAGGAGAAGTGTGGTTACTGCTCTCCTGGTCAGTGCTGTGATCTGTGAGCAACCACAGGCACTCTTTTTCCACCCTGGAACTGTGACAGTGGTCCCTGTTCCCCTGCGACTGCGAGCTCTGATGTGCTAGTGCTCCTCATCCTGGTACTGCAACCCAGCCTTGCATCCTAGATACAAACGTGGGCAATGCAACAGAGTCCTCTACCCGTTGCCAGTGAGGGGACCCCTTTCTGAGCCCTTTCCCATCTGTGGGCTGAGAGCTCTGGAAGTTGCTGATGATGGTGATGATTCAGTCGCCTCTAAGGCCTGCTGTGGGCTATTTGGAGGTAGCCTGTGCTCCACTCTCACCCTGTGCCAGTGTGATAGACCTTCTAGGTTGTCTTGGGCTACAAAACTGTTTCACCCCATCCTTTTGTGGGTTCTGCTGCTCTAGAATTCCTTTTAAAAGGTTATTTTAAAGTTGTTTGGAGGAGAATTTGGTAGAGCTCAGGCGAGTCTGCCATTTTGGCTCTGTCCTCTAAATTTATTTTCACCAAGAAATTTGAACATATGTGAAGGAATAGAAGCTGTCAAAAACCACATGAAGAGCTCTCACTCTCAGTAATTTGTATAGCTTGGGTTAGGTAGGAGTCAGCAGAAGTAGAACAATGTGTCTGGTAACACGAGAATCTTGTTATGCGGCAGTGCTGCTAAATCATATGATTCCATGTTTTGTAATGTATAATTTAACAATGCTGGCATAAAAACTGAATCATTTCAATAGTGTATATATAAGTAATCCAGAAAGTGATTCTAGAGATATTTAAGATTTGACGTATTTCTGAAAGAAAGTTTTTAAGCAGCAAATGTAGCATTCTGCTCTGGGGTTTAAGTAAATTTATAACTGATAAATTTTCTTAGCCTAGGTTACAAACGATATTTTATTGGACTCTTAGTCCTGCATTTTGTGTTTTTCTAAAATATTTACATGATGAAATTCAGATAGGAAGAACATTTTGTAGCTCTAGCTCATAATAAAATAGGCTGTGTTTACCCTTTCTTCTCCAAGAAAAATAATAGTTTCTAATGTTTTCATAATTCATATTATAGCACATTCAGTATTAGTGGGCTATAGGATTTTGTAGTCTTAGAGCGATTCTTGTGTTTGTTACTCTCTTCAGGCATCTGTCTTACTTTGGTTTTAGTTTTGTTTTTGTCCAGACCTATGATTTCATTGGTGAGGTAAATCACCTTTGTGGAAATTCCTTGGTTAGAGATTGGTGATGGTCATTTATAAAGCCTTAGTTGCCTGAGGCCCTGGGAAGTGAAGTGATTTGTCTTTGATCACATAGCTAGATTTGTGAGGCAAAACTTAACCTCAAAGGACAAGCCTTTTTTCCACTATACCATGCTGTTACTGGTTAGCCTTTCAGAAGAAGTGTACAGAAGTAGCATATTCCACATGAAGATTCCACATAAAAAAGAAAAATAATTTAACATTTTTAAAATTTACATTAATTGTGTATCTTAATTCCATTCTTTAGTTTTTCCCTACATAAAGCTGCTTTAGGAAGCTAGGGCCTAGCTTGGAAGAAGGAAAATAATAGGGCCCATTTAGAGATTGGTCAAATGGACATTCCTGTCCCAAATAGTTTAAGGTAGGAGCTTTTGTTTTTATGAAAATTTGAAATAATAAATTGACACTCTCCACATATTCCAATTAATTAAAATTTTCAGTCCGGAGGATGAGCTTGTTTTGTAAGTGCTAAATATGGATTCCCTTATTAATTTTTTTAATAATAACTTTCAGACCTATACGATAGCTTATTTCATTTGCAAAATTGACATACAAATTTGTACTATAAGTGGATTTAAGTAGTATTTCTTTTTTGAAAAAAGCATACAAATTCAAACTTTTTGTATATAAATAAAAAGAAAAATTCTCTTAAAATACCCTAGACTCTTTTTTTGGGTTAAACATTTCTTAAGGGAATTTGGCTCTTTTTTTTTTTCATACTCCTTTATTAATGATTTGGGAATGTAGATGTTAAGCTCTTTCAAGTTAAAAAAAAAAATGCCTGATTTCTTACTACTAAGATTTTAGCTTTGAAAGTCCTCAGCTCTGATCAGCTGTATACTAAATTGAAAGATCAACTGGCTGAACTGGAGGGGAAAAAATTGGTCTACAGTTGGCTTAGTTCTAAAGTAAGAGACCACATAATTTACTCTTTAAAAACAAAATAACCAAAAATTCAGCGTTGGTCTTGGCTATAAGCATGGACTTACACTCTTTTTGTACAACTTTCCTTTTTCCAATAGGTTGGTTCAAAGCTAATCTCCTGCCACAAACTAGCACTGGCTTGTGTTATTCCTTATTTCAGAGCCATGTTTCTTTCCGAAATGGCTGAAGCGAAGCAGACGCTCATTGAGATCAGGGATTTTGATGGTGATGCGATAGAAGACTTGGTGAAGTTTGTCTATTCTTCCCGGCTCACTTTGACAGTTGACAATGTCCAGCCTCTCTTATATGCCGCCTGTATTCTCCAGGTAGAGCTGGTGGCTAGAGCGTGTTGTGAATACATGAAGTTACATTTCCATCCTTCCAATTGCTTGGCCGTTCGAGCTTTTGCAGAGAGTCACAACCGCATTGACTTAATGGACATGGCAGACCGATATGCCTGCGAACATTTTGCCGAAGTGGTGGAGTGTGAAGACTTTGTGAGTGTCTCACCCCAGCATCTCCATAAGCTTTTGTCCTCGAGTGATCTCAACATCGAGAATGAAAAGCAGGTCTACCGTGCCGCCATCAAGTGGCTTCTTGCCAATCCTCAGCATCATGCGATATGGTTGGATGAAATACTTGCTCAGGTAGAATAAATGGATATGATTATATTGAAGGAAGAAACAGGAACATTGTGAAAGCATATCTATGTGTTTTTCCTGCTGGGGGAAAAATGCATGTTATGAGAGGAAATATAGTAGTCATTGATAGAGTATAATGCTTCAAAAAGTTTTGACTAGCAATGCTTAGTGTACTGCTAACTGTACTAAAATACAACAAATTGGATCTTTGCCCATGCTATCTGTGGCTATTAACAATTAATATACTTTTGAGTGGAGGTTTGTTCTTGTTATCTTGGGACTGGAAATCCCATTCACTAATTTTTAAATAGCAAAATGTTAGAAATGCACATGATACTTACTACCTGTGTGACCCTGGGCAAGTCACTTAACCCCAACTGTCATTTTGAATTAAAATCTACACTTCTAGAAAATTGAGTCTATACAGAAATGGATGAGGTTCAAAGAATTATGACATCGGGGCAGCTAGGTGGCACAGTGGGTAGAGCACCAGCCCTGGCGTCAGGAGGGCCTGAGTTCAAATGCGGACTCAGACCAAACACTTGTCACTTACTAGCTGTGTGACCCTGGGCAAGTCACTTAACCCCAATTGCCTGAAAAAAAAAATTGTGGCATCAAAAACATTTACAATAAAAAACACAAATCTCTCCTGAGTAAATTGAAACTATGTAGCATAATTAGACTGTTAAAATGTCTAAATCGTTATGAATTGCTTTGCTCAACAAAAAATTCTGGTTGACCCAAGTGAGGAAAGAAATGCTACCTTATTTATTTGTTTGTTTGTTTGTTTATTTATTTATTTGGCTAGGCAGTGGGGTTAAGTGACTTGCCTGTAGTCACACAACTGGTAAGTGTTGTGTGCCTGATGTTAGATTTGAACTCGGGTCCTCCCGAATCCAGGGCTGGTGCTCTATCCACTGTGCCACCTCGCTGCCCCCAGAAATGTTACTTTAAAGACTGTGTTTACTTATCTACTCATCATACCTAAGCATTCAGCTTCTTGCTCGGTAGAGGCCTTTAGCTACCATGCTGATGATAACTATTTTCTAAGCTACCATTTCTCTAATATGAGATTGTATTTTTCAGAGAGTTTTTAAATGCGGGTGGAAGCAGATGGAGTCTTTATGAACTTCTGAATGATGGGTACCTTTATTTTTAGTTTGTAGGCAGGCAGACTAGTCTGAAAAAGCAATTTTGTTATTTTTTTTTCTTATGAGTGAATTTTAAAATATAGAAATATTCGATAATATGCATACATAAAACCTCTTCTATGAATTAGTTATTTTAGAAGGGAATATATGTACTTAAACCCGTGCTTTTCAAAACATTTTCTGGAACTCTTATTTTAGAATTGTCATCACTGTTAGTGGACAATCTACACAAGAAAAGTCAGTGTCTTTATGGTGACTGTATTTTCGGTTAAGCATGGTCTTACCTAGTCTAGTCATCCATCTTATTATATTTAAGACCTGAATTCATTTTAGCCTCAGACACTTAGTAGTTGTGTGACCTTGGGCATGCCACTTAACCTCAGATTGCCCCAATTTCTTCAACTGAAAAATAACAGCATCTCCCTCCCAGAGTTATTGTGAGGATTAAATGAGATAATATTTGTAAAGTGTTTAGCACAATGTAGCGTGGCATGTAGTAGGTGCTATATAAATATTTATGCCTTCCTTTCCCTTTCTATTCATTAAGTAGCTTTTTTTCTATTTTAAGAATCAGTTCTATCTTCAAAAAATAAAGATTTGCCACAAATAAAAATATTTAGAAGTATGTGCATAGGTGCTAAAATTCATATTGGGAAAACATTCCAGAAGTACTTTGAGCAGATGGTAGGAATAAGTATATAGCCTTTAAGATGGCATCTTTGAAGGGAAATATTTTGTATAATTTCTGGTTTGTTGGTTTAAAAAATAGTCTCATTGTTCCATAGTCACAGCTAATAACAATAAATCAGTCAGTTAACATTTGTTAAGTGCCTCCTATGTGTTATTCAGTAGTCTGTTAAGCACCTATATACTAGGCACTAGGGCTATCAGGACAAAAAATAAGATAATCCCTGCTCTCAGAGAACTTAACATTCTATAGAAGGAGAAAATATGTAGATACAGAGATAGGTATAGATATGTGTGTGAATACACATACATACATGTGTGTGGATCAGTAGAACTGAATAAATGTCTATCTGATTAATTTAGGGCAGCCAGGGACAGAGAGAATTAGCGTTTGGGGTGGGATCAGTAGAAATTTTGTGCAAAGAGTTGAGAAATAGAAAAGTGAGATTGTCCCTCCCTGAGAGGAGTTTGCCTGCTACACATATTAAACTTTTATCTAAACCAAAAACCACCAACACTTAAAGCACGGTATTTTCTCAGACTTGGTCTTTGAGATGGATGTTGGATGTATCATTAGCAGTATCATTCACATGTCTAGGCTATTTAGAATGATACTACTCATCCTCTGTTCATACACGTCAGTATGTGTGCATCTCTCCTAAGGGATAAAAGTGACCATTCCTATCCTGTGCACTTTTATAGCACTTTTAAAAAATCACCTGTACTTTTTATACTTTAATACATTCATAACTTATTTCTACTGCCCCACCCCTCAACTAATTAGCTCCTTGAGATACAGACTGAGTCTTAATTATCTTTGAATATTATCTTTTGGTTCCTAACAGTGCAGGTACTCAATAAATGTTTACTAAGTTAAGATAAATTTGCAGAAGGGTTAAAAGCAAGATTAAATTTTTCATCTGGTCTAACAACTTTAAATTCAGGTTTTGAGAAGGGATATAAACCCCATGTCAGACAACTTGACCCAAGGAGACCCAGTCTTAGGCATAAGAAATAGGGAATACAATTTAAATCAACCACAAATGGGAAAGTATTTATCTATAGCTTACTTTGTGCTCCTCACTGATTCACAAATAGAAAATTGAGACTGTCCTTGCTCTCAAGGAGCTCACGTTCTAATTGGATGAGACAGCACCTCAAGGAAGGTTCATTTTCGTAGCAAACGGAAAGTCCAAGTGGTATGAGATACTGGCAGGAAAAGTAGTAGAGCAGACAGCAAGGATTGAAGGATCTCAGAGAGTGATGGTGGGGTGGATGGTTCCTTGCCAAGAAGATCCAGGGTCAGAGTGGAGTGGCGCTATGGCAGAGGTGGGCATTCAGCATTGCAGTTAGCTATCCAGTTAGTATTTAACAGCAGTGTGACAACTTAATACTTACAACTGTTCACAATTCCATCAGGTTCGACTGCCACTGTTGCCCATTGATTTTCTTATGGGTGTTGTGGCAAAAGAAGAAATTGTCAAGCAAAATCTAAAATGTAGGGATTTACTCGATGAAGCAAGAAATTACCACCTTCACCTGAGCAGCAGGGCAGTGCCTGACTTTGAGTACTCCATTCGAACCACTCCAAGGAAGCAGACTGCTGGTAATTGAATTCCCTTTTCATCAACAAATGCTGATGGAAAGGCTGTGATTGCCATTGATGTACTTCTGGGCTGGTAGTGTTAAACTTTTTGCAGAATGATTTGGAACAAATTTTCCTAATCTGAGCACCACTAAGTATGCCTGAATATTCCTATAAATATGCACTATCTCATCTTCCCTCCCTGTACTTTCATGGAGAACTATTCTGGTAATTTATCAGAATCAAAATGTGGGGTGTGAGACACAAAGGCAGTGAGTGTTATACACAGAAGCATCCACAGTTTTGGCAAGTCTCCGTCAGGGGACCTGGGTCCACATCCCGGATATTCCATTTACCACTTGTGTGATTTGGGATACTCACATGAGCTCTCTGTGCTTCCGTTTCCACATTTGTAAAGTGTAAGGGGGTTGGGTTAGATAATCTCCTAAAATCTGTGATCTCATATGGGGAAGGTTTGGTTCCGCAGAACAGTAGTCTTCTGGATTGTAAAAAATGCTGAAAGTATAACATTAGGTGCCACTTTATATGGGAATTTTTAAAAAAATTAATGAAATGACCATGTTGAAAAGGTTTCAATTAAACATAAATTATACACAAGTAATATTGGTGAAGACATGTAAAATCAGTAGTCTTCATTATAAATAGCTATCAGTTCACTTGCATTATTTTTCAAAACTTTTTCCCTTTTGGAATTAGGATAGATAAAAACTGTCAGTGGCCTCCAAAAGTTGCATAAGATCACTTTTGCCAAGTAGCATAGGATATTGGTTTTTTTGGTTTTTTGTTTTTTGTTTTTTATTGTTGTTGTTGTTGTTTTAGTGTAGGTTCAATGAAAATTATCTGATAAGATGGTCTGAGTAGCTAAAAATACTGGCTTTTCCCTGAGGAAATCACACTTTGTTGATGAAATCATTAGTTGTATTCTTGTCATTAGATGTCCTCATGGAAGTGGTAACACATACCCAGAATAATTTTAGATTTCTTTTTTATTTGCTTTACAAATGTGACTATACTGAATGCATTCTGAAAGATCATTTCTTTCCTTGTAATTTTCTGAAAACATGAATTTTTTTCATAGACAGTTTTTTTTTTTATAACCTTGTCTCTGATTTGGCAATTCTGAGATTAAACTGTTTGCTCTCTCCTCTTTCAGGCGTGCTGTTCTGTGTGGGTGGTCGAGGTGGATCAGGTGACCCATTTCGAAGCATTGAATGCTATTCAATCAACAAAAATAGTTGGTTCTTTGGACCAGAAATGAACAGTCGAAGGCGTCATGTGGGTGTAATATCTGTGGGAGGTTGGTAACATTGCTTAAATGAAATTTTTCCATTATTATATCTCACCTTAAAATATTTAATCCTTAAGTCCTGTAACATAAAAATGACCACTGTGTACATGTACATGTATGTATATAATGTGCATTTTCCACATGCACATGTATGTGCCTGTGTAAATATATGCATATGTATATATAATTACTAGATGTTTTTCAGTCAACAGGCAAATTTTCTAACTGGTATCTTCATCAGTATGAAAAGTCATTGTGTTTTGAGCTAACAGGTACTCTGTGTGTATTCAGTCAAGTCAGTTAGTAATAGATCCATAGTGTAGAGAAATGTTTTAGATTGAAAATAAAGCCAGTTCTTAAGTTAAAAAATAAAAATAATTCTGTTTGATTTTTAGGTGCTAGAAAAACATTAAATAAAAATACCCATCAGTCTTGAGTGATGAATTTGTCTTTTCTCAACTCTTTAGAGGGTTTTTTTTTTCCTAGTTGGTGAAAATTAATTCTCTTCAAAATTGCCTACGCTTCTTCAGAATTATAGCACCTAAAGGACAAAGTACAAGTCATTTTTTTTTATATTTTCATGTAAATCAGCATGCTCTAGTCATTTTAGTCAACCGAAATTTATTGAGCACCTACTACATGCCAGGCACTGTGCTAAGTGCTGGGAATACCAAAAAAGCTCTCGAAGCTAATGGGGGAGACAACCATATATACAGGCAAGCTCTATACAGGATAAACTGAGAATAATCTCAGAGGGAAGGTACTAAGATTAAGGAGAACTGGGAAAGACTTCTTACAGAAGGTGGGATTTTAGCGGAGACTTGAAGGGAGCCAGGAAAGCCAAAAGTGAGACTGTGGGGGTGGGGGGGTGGGAGAGAGACAATGAAAAACGTTAAGTTTTAGTATAATATATATACACATTAGTACTTAATCATTTAACTAACGTCTCCAATAAAATTAAACTAACAGTTGCTAAAAATAATTATACCACTAATACAGCTTGTTTTGTGCAACTTTTTGGTGTCAAGATTGTTAACAAATGAATTTACTCGGATTAAAGAAAGTTATTTCTTTTTTAATAGGCAAAGTCTATGCAGTTGGTGGACATGATGGAAACGAACATTTAGGCACCATGGAGGTGTTTGATCCTCTCACGAATAAGTGGATGATGAAAGCATCAATGAACACAAAGAGGTAGGTCCATGTGAATTGCTTTTGTCTATGAAGAAGATAAAAACCAGTATTTAAAAAGATAGCATTATAGTTACTTTTTTCATATTACTTTAAAAAATACGAATGTCTTTTATCTCCTTCTGTTTCTGAGAAACATGCAAGACCCTTTTAGATATATTTTGTCAGCCCTTTTCCATTGCCATTTATTGCCACCCTCAGTCAGACTCCCACTTCTTCTCACTTATGCTGTTGTTTTCCTGACTGGAGTCTGTCCCTTCCCAATCCATCCTTCACATGATGGCCTGAGTAATCGTCCTAATTGCCAGGCCAATAATGCAGTTTACATACTCAAAAACTTTCACTCATTCTCCATTACTACCAAGTAAATTCTAGGATTAGGAGTTTATTTGTATATTGGGACCATCCAGAATTTGACTCTCCTATTCATATCTATGTTAACATATTCCAGAATATAGGCAAGTTAGACTGTTCTCCTCTCTTTCTCTTTGTTTTCTTTCATTTCTGTCTTTTAAAAGTCCTTTTCTTTCTTCAGGACCTTACTTAGACAATTTCTGTGTGCATGTCTTCTCCACCACACCCCAAATAGATTGTCAGCTCTTCGAGAGAGGCTTTGTGTTATGTCTATTTTTGTCATTTTTTTACATGGCACCTAATGTATTGAATTAAATTGTTTGTGGGATGGTATACCTCTGAAACTGGGTTGTAGTCACTTTGATTTTCTGAATAGTTTAGATGAAATTTGACAGTTTTGTATTTTCCTGTTCATGAGAAAACTGGGCCTAACAATAGTATTTCATTAAAAAAAAAGATAATAGGTTTATAGTGAGTTAAAATGCCATTACACAAACACGGTCCTAATACTTAGGGAGAGAAAAAGCAGAGAAAACACTGGGACTAGAGAGGATTAAAAGAAAAGAAAGTGTAAGAACCTCTGACTGGGGTAAGAATGAGAGGAAGGGAAGAGCAGGACAAGGGAGTAAAAGCAGATGCATCAGGAAAAAGCGCCGATGCTCTTTTTCTCTCATCGTCCTCTTTCTAAAGAGGATAGCAGCAAGGAAGAAGCATCAGAGGAGAGTAAGTTAAAGGGAAATACACAATTAAAGATCATAACTGTGAACAGGATAAACTCACCCATTAAAATACAGGAGGATAGCAGAATCGATTCTAATTTAACACTAGGTTGTTTTGTTTCGTCTTTACAAGAAACAGTCTTAGATGAGGCAATGGCAAAACTACACTTGATTGAAAGATAATATTGAAAAGTGCCGTTAACAACGCATTTATGTCATTTAATATGTGTACCAAATAGCAAAGATAAATACTTAAAGGAAAAGTTACAGAGAGAAATAGAAGGTAGTAGGAGCTAAATAACTTAGTCCTAAAGAATTGGTGAATCAAAGAACAAATCATAGAAATGATAGACATTTTATTATTAAAGATAAGTACACCCATGAGAAAACATGGCAAAATATGTGGAATTCAACCAATAGTCCTTAGTTACTTCTAACATTTTCATCAACAAAAGAGACAACAACACACATTCCAGATCAATGGAATTGGTTATGTGCCTAAACAAAACAAAAAAACTAGACAACTCAGGATTTTCTTTTAAAAAATTAAACATTAAGATAGAAATTCTGATAATCAAGGAGGAGATTAGCAAAACATGAAAAAAACCTGTTGAACTAATAACCTCTAGGAGCTTATGTTTAAAGTAGCAGTAGAGAAACTTATTTATCTACTTTGATATTTTGAAAGGGAAGATGAAAACCAAATTATTAATAATAAAAAGAATTCACAATAAATAAAAAATAAAGGAAATTATTAGAAACTATTTTCTCTAATTACATTCAGTAAAACCAGCATACAAAGTTGATTCATATTTTTAAAAATATTGAATTCTCAGATTAACAGAACAAAAAATAGAGAATTTAGCCCAATCTCAGAGGAGAAAAAAAAAACTGACCTAAAGAAATACCAGGAGCAGATAGATTTATAAGTGATTTTATCATATGTTTAAACAATAATTCATACCAGTATTATATAACAAGGAGAGTCAAAATAGAGAAAGAAAAACTTTAGTGTAATATCCTTCATGAATATTAGCACAAAAAGTCAATTAAAATATTAGCAAGCAGACTATAGCAACATGTTACAAATATTATGACCAGTTTGGGTACATACCAGGAGTGCAGGGTTGTTCAATATTGTTGTTGTTCAGGTCGTTTTGGGCGTGTCTGACTCTTCATGACCCCATTTGGGGTTTTCCTGGCAAAAATACTAGAGTGGTTTGCTATTTCCTTCTCCAGCTCATTTTACAGATGAAAAAACTGAGGCAAACAGTTAAGTGACTTGCCCAGGGTTGCACAACTGGTACGTATCTGAAGCTGGATTTGAATTCAGGTCTTCCTGACTCTAGGCCCAGCACTCTATCCACTGCACCACTTGGCACCATCCAGTTCAATATTAGAAAAACTATAAACATAGTACATACAGTGAGAATAACAAAAATCACGATTATATGAATGGATACATAAAAAGCTTTTGACAAAAGACACCCATTTTTTTATCTAGAAAACAGGAATGAATAGAAGTTTCATTAATATTTTAAGTAGTTGGGGCAGCTAGGTAGCACAGCGGATACAGCACTGGCCCTGAAGTCAGGAAGACCTGAGTTCAAATCTGGCCTCAGACCAAACACTTGACACCTACTAGCTGTGTGACCCCAGGCAAGTCACTTAATCCCAATTGCCGAAAAATTAAAAAAATGTTTTAAGTAGCAAAACCAACAATCAGCATTATATGTAATGAAGATAAACTAGGAGCCTTGCCATTAAGATCAAGGTCAAAACAAAGATAACTATTTTCACCACTGCTATTTGAAATAGTCCTTGAAATGCTGGCTTTTACAATTAGACAAGAAAAAAAAATTGAATCATTATCATAGGCAAAGAAGAAACAGTGATTGCTTTCTGTAGATGATATGATGGTTTACTTAGTGTGTCAACTCACAAATTAATTAGAACCACAACTTCAGCAAAGTTGCAGGATATTAAATAAATCTACATAAATCATAATTTCTGTATATAACCAATAAAAGCAGGATAGATAGGAGAAATTCCATTTAAAATATCTACAAAACATATAAAATAGTTGGGACTCTACCTACTAAGACATTCACAGGAACACTATGAATACAACCACACAGCATTCTTTACAGAAATACAGACCAAAAGATTTAGAGAACTATAAATTACTTGTTGGTAGGTTGAGCCAGTATTATTAATATGTCCATAGTCCTTAAACTAATTTTAGTCATACTAGTCAGACTACCAGAGGACTACTTTAGAGAGCTGGGAAAAGTCATAATACAATTCACCTGGGGGAATCTCAAAGGAAATAATTTAAGGGGCAGTGAGGGAGATACTATGGATTGGGCGTGACTCAGGCCAGTCTCCTGGTAGTTTAGGTTTGGTATTAGAACACAATTATAACTCATTCAGAAATTAACAAAAGGATATTTAGCCATAGCAGGAGAAGATCTTCAGTAAGGATAGACATCGAAGACGTAGCCCACCAAACTTTCATTCACCCCAGGAGCACTTCGTTGCTGATTTGTACTCGGACCATAAGGGAAGTGAGCCAACCAAATCTTAAGGATGGTCTCAATATATTTTAAGGAAAAATTAGTCTAATTTGCATGGGGAAAAGGGTTAGGATATTGTTCCTGCCTCAGGGACTACTAGTACCACATCTTTACACTACAAGGTAATAATCATTAGGGGTAGCTAGGTGGTTCAGTGGATACAGCACCAGCCTTGAAGTCAGGAGTACCTGAGTTCAAATCCGGCCTCAGACCAAACACTTGACACTTGCTAGCTGTGTGACCTTGGGCATATCACTTAATCCCAATTGCCTAAAAAAAAGTAGTAATCATTGTAATGATTTGATATTCTATTTAAGAGCTAGGTAGGTTGATCAGTGGAATAGATTAGGTACAGGTACAGAAGCAAATGAACTTTGCAACATTGTATTCGATAACCCCAAAGACTATGGGGGAAGGGGAAAAAACTGCTGAGAAAACTGGAAATAATACGGCATAAATTTGGTGTAGACCGATATCCCACTCTATACCAAGACAAGTTCCAAATGGATACATGACTTAAACACAAAGTGTGACATCATAAACAAATTAGAGGAGCAGGAAAGAAATTACCTTTCAGATCGATAGGTAGGGGGAGAGTTCATGACCACACTAAGACTAGAGAGGATCGCAGAATGTAAAAGAATATGAAGAACTGTTTCTATTACAGCAAAACCAATATAGTAGGTAAAGTTAGAAGGAAAACATTTAACTGGGGATGGGGAGAGCGTTTGAGCCAATTTTTCTAATAAAAATTTCCAGCACATGTATGGAACTGATGCCATTTTATTAGAATAAAGTACTGTCTCCCAATTTGGTAAATGGTCAGAGTCGGTCAGTCAGCTGTGCCGAGGATGTAAAGAAGCACTTTTCAACAGAAGAAATCCAGGTTATCAATAGCCATATTAGAAAATACTCCACAACATCAATAATTAGATAAATACAAATTATGGCAACTCTAGGGTTCCATCTTACACCCATCAGATTGGTAAAGATGACTTTTTTAAAAAGCCAGATATTGAAGGGGCTGAGGGAAAATAAGCACATTGTTCCACAGTTATTGGAAATGTAAATTGATCTGGGTATTCTGGAGGGCAATTTTATATTATGCCCACAGAATCACTAAATTGCATACTCTTGACCCAGAGATACTTTTATAATGCTATGCCCCTGAAGAAATTAAAGAAAGAGGAACCATATGTACAAAAATGTCTACAGCCACTCTTTTTGTAGTAGCATAGAGCTAGAAACAAAAAGGGTTTGGGAAAAATGTGAACAGGTGATGGCTTATTAACATAATAGAATATTATTGTACCATAATAAATGACAAAAGGAACAGTTTCAGAGAGTCCTAGGAAGACAAGTGAAAAGGACAGAACTAGGCTAACAGTTCATACAGTAATAATCACATTGTAAAAACAAACAACTTTGAGAGACTCATTGATGCGATGGCCAGCCACAATTCCAGAGAACCATGAAGGTATTTGTTTTGCTTGACTATGAATATTTTTTGCAAGGGTTTGGGTTTTCTTTTCTTCTTTTTTCCTTTCAAGTAATGAAGTACATTGGAAGAGATAAAATAAATTCTTGTTAACTTAAAAAATAATATAATTTAAAAGCCCAGATATTTGTATATCAAGCATCAAGGCAGTACCTGATCCATAGTATTAGATCAATATGTGCATATTTAATTGAATTGCTTAAAAAATGTACCTTTGGTTCAGGAAGAATTTGGGGGTCAATAAATGAACTTTGCAGTTTCTTAAAGGCAATCTCTCTCATTTTCTACTGGTTAATTCTGGACCCAACTAGTTTATTTGCAACCAAGTTGCATATAGTGATGGATGAGCTTTATAGGTGTCTGTTAACTGCATGTCATAGTCTTCCCAACAGGCATTTTTCACTCACTTTTTTTTTTTTTGAATGAGTACTTAGGTGAAACTCTTTAAACTCAAAGCAACTCTTGAAAAATATTCATAGATACACTTAAAACATATACATGAACATATACACACATTCAGTGCAATTAATCTACAGCAGGTATGTTTCCTTATTCTGCAGTGTCATATTTTTTTGGTGATAAATATAATAGGCAATTGTTATTTTTCTTATGTGTTCAAGAATTACACACAATAACCCTGCATAGATCTGGGTCCCACCAGTTGCAGAGCATTGCCTTAAGTTGGTAAATGTCAATAGGCATTGTTCACTAGGGAATAAAATTGAAGTAGACTAAATATAAGACATAGCACAGTGCCTTGAGCAGATATTTCATAAAAACTTTTTGATTGATTTTATCTTTTTTATAAAGAATTAGGGAAAGATTAATTAACTGAATCAATATACATGTGAAGTCAGTCATTGATTGACAAAGGTTTTGAACTATACAACCTATGGTTGTAATTCCTGGCCATCTTCAAACCATGCTGTCTGCTCTCCAGCCAGCAACCCTGCAAAAAACTTGGGACTCTGCCCTTGGAAACCATCCCAAGTGTGATAAATGAGCTTTTCACCTTACTTAACTGCTTGGATCCAGGCTTCCACCTTACTTCCTAGCTATCTCAGAAACAGTGTTTCCCTCTGCCCCCTTCCAAATCCCTTTTATGATTTGTCTTCCCACATTAGAATGTAAGCTCCTTGAGAGCAGAACTACTTGCTTGTATTTCTATGTACAGTGTCTGATGCATAGTAAATGCTTAACAATTGTTTTCTCTATTTATTTGTCTCATAATGTACTCTCTAATGCTTTTGAGCATCACAGAAATTTGAAGTTCTTTCTTTTTCTTCAACCCCTATCATTAGGATTCAAGTCTAGGCAGGTAGGTGGTGCATTGAATAGAGTACTAGCCCTGACGTCAAGAAGACCTGAGTTCAAATCCAGCCTCAGGCATTTACTAGCTGTGTGACCTTTGGCAAGTCACTTAACTTTTCTTTGCCTCAGTTTCCTCAGCTGCAAAATGGGGATAATAACAGTACCTACTTTGCTGGATTGCTGTGAAGATCAAATGAGGTAATATTTGTTAAGCGCTTAACGCAATGCCTGGCACATAGTAGGTGCTATGTAAATGCTTTTTACCTTGCCATAGATGTCATCATTTATTAGGAGGAAATGGTCGTTGGAAGTAATAGTCTTAGTAAATCTCTTATATAAAAATTGTCTGTTTAATGTTGGGATGACCGTGTATCTTATAAATCAGTGAGTTTACAAATAATGAGGAGGATATTAATAATGGAATCAATAATGGGGAAATACCACATTGACCAGTTGTTTGCATTTAAAAACTGTTGTTTTTTAACCCATGTGCTAAAGGTATGTTCTGTTGCCTTTGTAGACGAGGAATTGCCTTGGCCTCTCTCGGAGGTCCAATTTATGCGATAGGAGGGTTAGATGACAATACCTGCTTCAATGATGTGGAGAGATACGACATTGAGTCTGATCAGTGGAGTGGGGTGGCACCAATGAATACTCCCCGAGGAGGGGTTGGCTCTGTAGCTCTGATAGTAAGTTAAGTCTTTTGACTTTTCTGTTGAATTGTTATCATTGTGTCCAGTTGCAGAGTAAATTATCTCATGTTTATAAACACTGACATGAAATTCTGTCTTTAAAATATTTACTGTTAAATATGTTATGTTTGTAAGCATTGGACTGCTCATCAAGATGGTTGGCATTGATAATCCTTTAAATCCAGAAGCTTGGTGGGTCCCAGATAACTGCTCTGCCAGATTAAAAACATTTTGCAGATTGTCCTGTTCTTTGGAATTCTTCAGTTCTTCAAAATCAATCAGATAAAACCAGTGTTTGTGTGTTTCCATGTTGAATGCCATGACATCTCTTTATAACACCAGATTATAAAATAATTACTTTTGTATACATCATAGGTATATCACTGGCAATATGTAGAATCAATTCAAAAGCTAGCCTTAATTTCTATTTTAAAATTTAGAACTATGTTTATGCTGTGGGAGGCAATGATGGGCTGGCCTCTTTGTCTAGTGTGGAGAGATATGACCCACATTTGAATAAATGGATAGAAGTTAAAGAGATGGGTCAGCGAAGAGCAGGCAATGGTGTTAGTGAGCTTCATGGCTGCTTATATGTTGTGGGTAAGTAGTAAATCCTTTTCATAATTATCATTTTAATTTCATGTAGTAAGAATAACAATGATGTTTCAAAACCATTCTCTAAATGTTGTTGTTAAGCTAAATAGTGAGGAGCTAAGTATTGGTTCTTTTATTTCTTTCTTTCAGGTTATATCTTATATCTTCAAATCTCCTTCTCTAATATAAACTCTGTTTTAAACACAATTATCTTAACAATGAAATGCTACTTTGAGTAGAGTTGCTGCCTCTTTTTATAAAGATAATAATCTCACAAAATCAGTTTTCTTTTTCAAATAATATTTCAAAAACAGTAAGACCTAGATTTCTGATAATCATATCTAAAGAATTGTTGAGTGCCTTAAAGAAGATAGCATTGGTGTATATATGAATGTTTCTGAACTGTTTCTTTACCCACTTCAACGTTAGCAGAAATATAGCAATAGTCTCCTTTAGTTGATGGTTGTATGTAACTCGTAGCTGTAGATAAAATATTGTTGACATTTAAAATCAACAAGCACAACCTATAACATTACAGAAGGGACCGACCTATTCCCTGAAAAAGGTGACCAACTGCAACATGCAGGGGAGAGGAGTCCCAGTCGTATAAATTTATAGCCAGTCTTCCATGCCAAGGGAAGGGAGGATGGTACAAACCCAATTACAGTCACCCTCTGAAACATCCCAGCTCTAGATAGGAGGAAGCACTGAGGTAGTTGCTAAAGAGGAACCATACTGCGCTGGTGACTGATATTAAGCCCCTGTGTTCTCAGTACCCGTCCCTAGTAAAGACCCAGGAAAGAAAGTTCTTGATTCCAAATCCTTCGTGGAAGAGCAGTATTCCCCTAGCCCCATGCAAGTTAAGCTAGTTTTTCCTTTAAAAAATATAAAAACCCTCCTTAAGACCTGGTGTTCAGGGTAATAAAGACTTAGGCTGTTCCGTCGCTTTCTGGTTGCCCAAGTACAGAGCAGCCAAAAGGAGGTCCAGAGCAACCAGCCAAGGCCAGGGAGCTTCCCTCAGCCGACTCAGCTTGGGGTGTCCTCAATGCCTGTCCTTGTTGACTGTCCTCCTGGTATAGCTAAGTAAGTCTCTTGTTATTAAGTGGAATGTCCTCGGTGTCTCATTTTGTTATAAACTACCAGGGGACTGTCCTGAGTCAGGCCCAATGTCAGGTAGTTCCACATCATAAACCAATATGATTTCATCATTGGAAACTACACTGAAGAAGATGCATTACCGTCTGCTTTGCACTGCCCTCTAAGGACTCTTCCAGCTGAAACGTTGGTTGTGTCTCATCTTGGCCATTAGAATATGAGCTCCTTGAGAAGAGGGAGTGTGTTTTCTTTTTGTATCCCCAGTGCTTAGCAAATTTTTTTTTCCCCATTCATCCATTTACATCAAGTGAACTGATCAGGAAGGATGGAGCAGATGGCAAGAAAGTGTCAGGGAAAGCTCAAGGATAAACTGAACAGAGGGTAAAAGGAGTCCCATCAAAACTAAGAAATTGTTATTAATTCTGTGGTAGAAAATTACCTGAAAGCACTGATGTCTAAGACCTGTAAGAAATTAACATATATCAGTTGGCAGACATTTAGTGCCGGCATTATTTTTGGTGCTGGGGATTCAAAGAAACTAAAAGAGCCTGCCCTCCATGAGCTTACGTTCTGTTGAAGGAAACATTGTACAAAGTACATACAAAACACGTAAGATTGTTTGGAGGGGGACATCAGTCCCTCAGGTACGCTGCTGGCTTTGGGCATGTGAGCACAAAACAATAAACATTCACAAGAAACTTAAATTTTAGTGGGGTGAGAAATGCACATATAAACTTATACACTACACATATCAAGGGAATCAACAAAAAGAGATGCAAAGTGCCTAACTACAGAGTAGTTTAGGGTGGGTACTAGCAGGACAGGAAAGCCTTCATATAGAAAATGGAGCTTAAGCTGTGTCTTGGAGAGGGGACTCTGAAGGTGAGGTGGGGAAGGCATGCCATCCGAGGGTATGGGACGGCCGTGCAAAGGCCGGACAAAAGGTTGAGTGTTGGGTGAAAAGGCTTCCTCTGGTGGCAAAGGAAGAGGAAGGAGAGCCCTGTCTAATTTGGCTGGAAAGACAGGTTAGAGCCAGGTTGTGGCCTGGTCTTTTAAAGCTAAACAGAGGAGTTTATATGTTATCGCATGGCACGAGGAAGCCACTGGAGTTGATTGAGTAGGGGATCTGTACCTGAGGAAAGCTAATTAGGCTGCAGTGTGTAGAATGGGTTGGAGAAAGAGAGACACCTTTGGAGGCTATTGAAATACTTTAGGTGAGAGGTGACAAGGGCCTGAACTAAAGTGTCGTTCTGTGAGTAGGAGAAGAGATCAGCTGCTGGAGCTGTTAGGGAGGGAGGAGTGCAGTATTTGGCGACTCATTAGACACATGGGTTGAGGGAGAATGAAGAGTTTGAGATAATGCTGTGGTTTCAGACCCAGGAGGTTGGAAGAGGCTTCTGCTTTTGACAGAAATAAGGACATTTGAGGGAATCAGGAAAAGCCTTCATGGGGAAGGTGGTGACATTGTAAAGAATTGCAGACTATCAATTAATATTTCAAATCACTACTAGTAAAGAAATAGGCAAATTCTAACAACTCCTAGATTTCATGTCACGTCTATCAAATTGACAAAGTTTTTTTTTTTTTTTTTTTAAGGCAATTGGGTTTAAGTGACTTGCCCAGGGTCACACAGCTAGTAAGTGTCAAGTGTTTGGTCTGAGGCCAGATTTGAACTCAGGTCCTCCTGACTTCAGGGCTGGTGCTGTATCCACTGTGCCGCCTGGCTGCCCCTCAAATTGACAAAGTTAGTGAGGAGATAGGTAATTTTGTTGAGGCTGTGGGAAGACAAGCATCCTAATAATTTGTGGGTGGAGGTATGAATTGGTTTGATCTTTTGGGAATATAATTGGGAACTAGGCTAGACAAAGTTACTTTACTTTGTATATACCCGTTGACCCAGCAGTCTCACTATTGGCCATATATATCCTAAGAAGGTATAAAGGCCTGAAAATATTTTTTGTAACACTTGTGTTACCAAAAAACTGGAAATAAAATCACTGCCTCTCAGTTGGGGAATAAACATATTGTGGCGTGTGAATTTAATGAAATATGATTATAGAGTAAGAAATGACAACTATGAGCAATTCATGGGACCAAGGAATGACTTATCAAAGTCATTTTACTCTGCGTGACTCTATAAGGCAAATAAAAAGAGCACAAAAAGGAAGTACTACTCTGAGCAGTTGTAATGACCCAGATAATTGTTATTGACCTCAGCATTCTGGCAAAAGGAGGGAGGTTAGGTGAGGGACCGTGTGGGAGTAGCTGGCTGACAATGGCTGCCTGAGCTGGGTTGCCCAGCACTCATCTGAAATTTGTACCAAACTGAATAATATTTTAAAAATCTGAGAAAGTATAGTGATTTCTTCCACCCTGGAACTGCACAGACAGAAGCCCATAGGCAAATAAAGGAGGCCACAAGGAAAGCCAGGACAGGACCATCGTAGGCAAGTAAATATCCCAGTACAACCAGATAACGTGTAGCCCCTGCAAGACTCGGTGTCAATAGTAAGGGATTTCCTTCTCCCCACTGCCCCGCTCCGAAATAAAAAAAACGCCCAAGTTGGTTGAAATCTGGAAGAGGGACCCAGAAAGCCAGTAGGAGTAGCGTCAACCAGTGCTCAGACCTGATAACCCAATTGCCCAGAGGCTCCACGGTCTCTCGCACTTTGTCTTGAGATGACATGGAAGGGCTTTGAAGATGTTTCTCTGAACCTCAAAGATCCAGGGACTCCTAAGCTCAGGAGGTGGAGGTCAGCACAGGACTCTAAGTGACGTAGGCCAAAACCAAGCAGGGCTGACCACACTACCCAGAAGTACAGTAGAGGGCAGAGCTTGGCCCTGGCACAAAGTCCCAATTCAGGAACCTAAGGCAGTTGGGAAAAGTAATCTAAAGAAGACATTGACCAGTATAAAAATTATTGTAGATCTAGAGATGCCCAAAAATCTAGCCTAGGAGATTGTAACTCTGTAACGCTTACCATTATTGTTCTTATTATTGTTCATAGTATATTCATTCAATAATATATTCAAATAATATTCATTATTGTTATGAATACCATAATTATATTAATATAATTGCTAATAGTAATGATTTTATTAATGCTAACAGGGAGAATAAGACTAGAGCTGAATAGTAGAAACTTTAAAATATAAACACAAAAATCTACAGAAACCTGGAAAAAGTATATTTATTTGAGGAATTGGATGAAGTTGTATTATAATAGAGGTAACAATAAGAAATCTATATCCTTTCAGAACTTTCATATCTTTAAAAAGTATTGAGGTAATTAAATCAGAAAAACACTGAACACTAAAAGAAAATTCTTCATGAAACTGTGAATCTCCATTTCATACTGCTTACTTTGAAAATAAGTTATTAATATAATAAATTCTACAAGTTACTTTCAAAACTCTTCTGCTGCTTATTTGAGCTTTCTTCTGAACTTTGGCCTGGTCTCTTATGTGCCTTTTAACAATGTTGTTAGGGCCTTTTTTTGGGCATTACTATGGACAAGTCCTCATCCCAATTAAAAATACAGGACAAGAAAGGAAAAATAACCCTTGTAACAAATATAGTCAAACAAAAAAACTCCACAGTGGCCATATTTAAAAAAAAAAAAGTATCTCTGTACGTTGTATCTATTACCCTTCCTTTCAGGAAGTAATGTATTTCATCATAGATCCTCTGGAAAAAATGTCTATCATTGCATTCATCGGAGTTCCTAAGTTGTTCAGAACTGCTTTTCTTTACAATGTTGCTGTCCTATAAATCTGCTTCCTTAATTCTCTGAGTCAGTTCATACTTTCTAAGGTTCTCTAAAAATGTGTCTTTCATCATCTCTTATGTCACAGTATATTCCATTACATTCATGTGCTGCAACTAACTTATTTAGCCTTTTCCCAGTGATCTTAAGAGACAATGTAAGGCACCCCCTCAGATTATAGTTATTCCTTTTATTCCCCTTTTCAAGATTAGCAAGTTTGTTTTATTTGAGACTATTACCTCTCCTCTTATCCTCCCTCCTAAGTACCCACTCCCTATCCCAGCTGTTAGTTGTTAAAATTAGATATATTTGTACACCAAACTGGTTTTGTCTCTGTATGCTGATGCATCTGTGTGTTTGCTGAACACTCCTCACTATTTCTTCCTCCTTATTTGTATACTTTTTCTTAACCCACCTCACTCACAACAAATTGCAAGTTCCAGACCCTTAAATCTGTCACTGCTCTGTAATGAGTAGCATTATTATTGATCTTCTGCAATCATGAATGGCTTTTGTATTGATTCTTACAGCTTTCAGATTTGTTTTTTACAGTGTTGTTATATAAATTGTTCTGCTCATTTCATTTTTCATTAAAAGCATATTCAAAATTGTTTATTTTTATATTTTATTTTTATAATATTGATGTTATAGTATATATTGTTCTTCTGGTTCTGCTCCCTTCAACTCTGCATCTTATAAATCCTTACTGTTCACATAAGTATATCCATGTCTTTGAAATAATTTACTTTTTTTTATAGCACAATATAGAATGTATTTATACCATAAAAATAGGATACATTCCACCTTATAAAAAAGGGTTATTTGGGGCTTCAGGGTGGTCAGAAACAAGTCCAAAGGAAGCACATATTGGCAATAAATGTAAGGGCATGGAGTAGGACCCCGCTGTGTAACTTGGGAACACGCCTTTACCATGACTGCTCCTTCTTTAGGTTAGAGTTCAAGAAGTTGGGCTTATCAGAAAAAGGCCCCTAAAATATATATAAAACAACAGAAAAAAAAAATAGAAAAAAAGGATCTGTTATCATGTTAATAGATGAATAGACAGCAACGCTTTTGTTCCCCCAGAAACTTTACTTTGCATGAATAACATAGACAATCAAGAAAGAATGGGTAAGCCCACTAGACTTAAGAGTGGAGTAGAACGGCAAAGAAACAAGCAATGATTTGGTAAATGAACACTTCTTTGAAAAGGAAATGAACGTTGCTCAATAGGATCGAGGCAGGGAGGATTCTGAACGCTATTTTTATCTGGGCTCAGAGGGAAGATTGAACAAGTAAAAGAAAGAAAAAAGAATATTTGAAGTAAACTCAAATGAGTTGGGATAGGGCAGAGATAAACAGGAAGGAATAAAGGAGAAACTGAGATCAGGTTTATATAAGTGTGTATTAAATGTTGGTACCAAATACTTAGAAAGGAGGCGGGGTGAAAAAGCATTCTTAAGTGAAAGATAATGGCAGAGTGGATTAGAAAAGAAAGCTCAGCTATTTGCTGCATACCAGAAAATCTGTTTAAAACCTACTTAAAAATGAAAGGTTGAGATAAAATTTGCTTCAGGCAGAAGTTGCCACCATAATCTCAGGTAGGGCAGATTAGAAACAATTTGAAAGATAGTTGTGACGAAAAAATACAAATAATTAGTACTACTGCCAGAGTATTTTTCTTCTCGCCATTATTCTTTAAAGTTAACATTTGACCATATCCTCCCGCCATATTTATCCTGTAGTTTCATTCCTTTCTTCTCTTATCTAATCTTCTTTCTATTCCCAAAAAACCTTACCTGTCTGTTCTTTTGAAGTCTACCCCTTATTCCCTCTACAGTTAAATTTCCATTGAAACTCTGGGACCCCTTAACTATTAAATAATAAAAACACAAGTTTTCCTATTTTTTTTCCAGAGGATGAGGATTGTGGGTATGAAACACTATATACTGTAGCAACAGATTCTGTTGGTGTGTTAATTGGTTTTGCTGAACTTTTATTCTTTGTTAAAAGATTGGCTGGGCAGGGTGTTTGTGGGAGCAAGGAAGGGCAGGAGGATGGGGAGAGGCAGGAGATACATTAGGAAATGTAAGTGAAATAAAAACAATTACATTAAAATTTTATTTTTTAAAAACTTAAGTTTATGTTTGACTTTACATATGTTATTGTATTTGATTTTCAGAAGACACTTGTGAACTTTAGGTGGTACAAATATTTTAACCTTCTACAAATGATAAAAACAGAAAAGTGACTTGGCCAAGGTCACACAGATGGACCCAGCACTGGGCTACAATTTTTCTGCCTCTAATTCCAGAATTCCTTCCTCCATATCACACTGTCCTTCTGTTATTGTAGGATTATTTACATTTCCAAGCTATAAACTTTGTGGCTTCATGAAAGACAATACAATTAATAGTAACACTTTTGATTAGCAATAATTAAACTTATACCCAATAGCTATGAGTTGACTGTTGCTAAAGTTAACTATTGGGGCAGCTAGTTGATATAATGGATAGAATACCAGCTATGGAGTCAGAAAGACCTGAGTTCAAATTTGGCCTCAGCCACAGTAGTTGTGTGGCCCTGGGCAAATCACTTAACCCCAGTTACCTCCAAAATAAAATAAAATAAAATAAAGTTAACTATAAGTTTTTCTTCTGTAAATGACCCAGTTAGCTCGATTTAGCATATCATTACTAAAGTCTAAAGAAAGTCATTTACTGGGAAGAGTTAGTCACAGGAGAACTATGATTCAGTTAGTTTGAAAAGGAACTTAAAAGAATATGGACATTTATTTTTGGTGGACAAGAGAATTGTTTAGTTATTTAAATATTTCATCCTTTGAATTGTCATGTAGTAAATTATCCATCATCCAGGATATGTCGTATTAAACTTGCAGGCTGGGCAGAAATTGCCATGTATTTAAATGTGGTAATGTTGACCCGCCTAGCTCATTCAGGTTAAGGGAGGGAATTTATTTAAATTATTAGTCTGTGAACTTTTAGATATTCCCTAGACTTTAAAAAACTGTAGTACATTTTTCTTCTCGGGTATTTTCACTACCCAGAACAGAGCATAATGCCTCTTTCCATCTATATTGTGGTCTTAGTCTTAAGAGAAAAATAAACGAATATATAGCAGTTTAAAGTTTACAGAGCACATTATACATGTTATTGCAAACCTGTGAGATTGAGAAAGAAGTAGTTATCCCATTTGACAGATACAAAGATTGAGACCGAAGATTAGGCATTTACCCATCGTCACACAGTTAATGAATGTTAGAAGCAAAATCTGAATCTATATCTTCCTGACTTCATGTTAGTACTCCGTTCATTATTCCAGGCTGATATTCCAAAAAAGCTGTACCATTATATTCAGTCTTCATCTTGATGTTCAGCCATGGGAGAAAAAACCCCCACCACTTTATTCTTTTCAGAAGACTAGACTAAGTATTCTCTAAACTCTTTTCTGGTTCAGTTTCTGTTCTTATGTAATCTCGGAATGCTAGTGGGTTTTCCCCTGGTTAACTGGTTTGATATAGGCATAATGTTTGTTTGTTTTTTCCATAAATCTCAATTAGTAGTGTTTTAGGGGCAGCTAGGTGGCACGGCGGATAGAGCACTGGGCCTGAAGTCGGAAAGACCTCCGAGTTCAGATTTTATCCTCAAACACTTCTGAGCTGTATGATCCCAGGCAAGTCACTTAACCCGTTTGTCTCCGTTTCCTCCTCTCTAAAAGGAAGATAATAATAATAGCATCTACCCTTCAGGGTTGTTGTGAGAATCAAATGAGATCATAATTGTAAAGCACTTAGCACATAGTAAGCACTCTGAATGTCAGCTATTATTATCAGTGCTATTATGAGAGCACTGATTAGCTCCAGTAAAAATCAAGTTACAAATACTATCAAACTCATTCGAGCACTTGAATGTTTTCTCTTTATAGGTGGATTTGATGATAATTCTCCTCTTAGTTCAGTCGAACGGTTTGACCCTAGAAACAACAAATGGGAATACGTAGCAGAGCTCACTACTCCTAGGGGTGGCGTGGGTATTGCTACAGTGATGGGCAAAATCTTTGCTGTCGGCGGTCATAATGGCAATGCGTACCTGAATACCGTGGAAGCTTTTGATCCAGTGGTGAACAGGTGATTATTGTGTGTGTGTGTGTCTGTGTGTGTCTGTGTATACACGTAATGTGTGTGTTCCCTTCTGTAATTCCAGAATCTCAGCTTGATTTTTTTCCTCCCAACTGAATTTTAAGGATTTTTATTTTCTATTTCAGTCAGTCATTCTTTCTACTCATTCATTTCATTTTTCACTAGTAACAGTTAATAAAAAGTATTTACATAGTACTAAGGCTTATTGGAGCATAAAAAGAATTTAAATTATAACTATCTCTTGCCATCAGAGTTTGCTGTGGATCAAAAACAGCCCCTCAGAAAGGATTCTTTTTATGATGTGATGGAAAGCACGCTGTATTTGGAGTCAGACTCACTCTAGTTCAGGTGTTTTCTGTGACTTTTGGGAATTCATCATTTCTTTAGACCTGAGTTTTTTAATCTGTGAAAGGAAGGTGTTGGATGACAACATCTCTAAATCCTATGATTTCTGTAATCAGATCATTTTTACTTTAGAGTCGGGGAAAAGAGAGTGGTTAAGATAATACAGTTTCTTTTTTGCATCTCCAGGTGGGAGCTTGTAGGGTCAGTGTCTCACTGCAGGGCTGGAGCCGGTGTCGCTGTGTGTTCCTGTTTAAGTACCCAAATCCGAGATGTGGGCCAAGGATCCAGTAATGTGGTTGACTGTATGTGATTTGAATGCCCGCCATCGACAGTTCTCTCCCTCCCAGAAGTAAAGACAGCTAGAGTTTTGGCATGATCATCTTGGAACAGGCTATGACTACAGCTGGTTTCTTATTTGAATATTAACTGTATGATGCTCCAAATAAGCACATTTTCAGATGTGCTCCATGAGGAATTCTCACTACTAAGGTGAATGCTGTCATTTTGACAAAGTTTTAAGCAATATTGGAGTCTTGTTCCAACTTAAAGTTTCCAGAAGAGAGATGATTTTAAAACAAGTGCCAAAACACCTGAAATCTGTTGTTTTTTTAAAATCTGAGTGATTTTTAAAGTTACATTACAGTAATTTGCAGTCATTTCTTTTTCAAAGTTAGACAATGAGATTATCCTACTGAATTTTTCTGTAAGGAGAAAATTGGGATACTTTCGGTATTGTTTTTTCAAAATGAAGGATATTTCCAGTTTATACTAAAAAAAGTTTATTTTACTTTTTTTTACTGGATGATTTAAATTTCTCAGATGTTTACAAAAGTAAAACATGTTTGCACTATTCTGAGTGCACTAGGCTGAATTTGAAGAATACTTGTAGCAATGTTGTACAATGCTAGTGAAGCTCAATCAGTCATACTAAGCTAAAGATGGCATATTTCTGATTTTAAAATTTGACTGTTTAATGGATTTATTTTATAGTAAATAAAAAGGGGGCTGATTTCTTGTTAGGAGAACATTTGTCTTATTTGATATTTCATCCAGTTGGAAATCTTAGGAATGAGCCAGGAATCTTGATCAGACGGTGTCCAAAGGCAGAGAATCAGGAAAACCATTTTTTTACTGACCCTCATTGACAGGCTCTTGACTGAAGGCCCAGGTTTAGTATTTCCTGTCCATCAGGCTGCTGGCTGACCTGTCCCTTTCCTGGGTATAACATCTGGTTTTAGTTCTTAAGGAAATGAAATACCTTTTTTTTTTTTCCAAATTTTATTTTTCCCCCAATTATATATAAAAACACTTTTTAACATTTGTTTAAAATTTCTGAGTTCCAAATTCTTTCCCTCCCTTCCTTCCCTTGCCCCCCTCATTGAGAAGGCAAACAATTTCACATAGATTATACATGTGCAAAACATATTTCCATGTTAGGAAATGAAATAAGCCAACTTTCAACACTGGCTCTAGTTTGCTAATAAGTTCAGTCTGTCCTGAAACCAGTACAAGTGTTAATAAATGTGAAGAGTTTTGCCATTTTCCTGCCGGTTATGTTTCATTCTCTTAAGCGTAGGATGCAGAACTTTCCTGGAGCATGAGCCCAAATATTGCTGTGCCTACTGACTTGACAGCTTTTCATGAAAATAACCTGCATTACAGAATGGCTTAATCATTGAATAATGTGTATTTATTTGTTCACAAATATTTATTAAAGATTCTATTTTCTATCTGCAGGTAGTAAAGTTAGATACTGAGTGACTGGGGGGAGAGACCCCACTTTTACTTAAGCATAGAGGTTTCCCTGCATGTTCTTAGGAGGAATGTTTTGAACTTTCCTCTTTCTGCTTAAAGCAGAAGCTTCAGCATTTCATTGCAATAGAACGCCAAAGAGCACCATTTTCAGTGGCATATTCTCCCAAAAGTCATAGATTCAAGGAATTCCTAGTTTTGCTTTGCCCATGGAGAAATGACTCTCAACACTTCTCATTGTTGCAAGTTTTGCAAAAGAGTATCAGGCATCCCATATCCCATAGGAGAGAAAGCTCGAGGTAAGCGAGTCTCGCTCAGACTGAAGTACTCAGGAGGACTCAGAAGACATTCACAGGCAGGCTTTGAAAACAGGTTGACAGCCTGTTTCATACACTGCCGTCCAACCACAGGCTGCCTTGTGTACCGGAGTTGGTTGGAGACACGTTGCTTTGGGACAAAATTTAGCATTTGAGGCAGAAACAAAACCATATTGTCACCAAACAGCCCTGATCTCACTTCAGATAGTTACTATTATATATTATGAGATCGAGTACTTTTTTTTGATGTAGTGCTAATAACCTGTCATAACTCTTAATTCTTTTTTTGTGAATTTCTTATTAAACCTTGATTTTAAATGGTTCTTTTCTTTGAAGTTTTTGCTGGCTTTGCTCGTTGTGTGTCGGGCCATTGTTAAGAGAAGTAACATTTCTAATTTTTAACCATGAGAGTCATCTAGAATATATAGTCTTTTCAATTCACCTTTTGGTACTGTAACCACAGCTCTTTGATATCAAATGCTTGTGAATGTTTGAAGAGAACAAAGAACGTGAACATGGTAGTATGTACTGAAGACAGAAGATTACCCTGAAAAATTTGCCGAAAACACCCTAAACAAGGTTACAATGAAAAAGGGGGGGACCACCTTCCCTTAAATGTATAGAGGTGTACCCCAAAGATGAGGTAAACAAGGTTATGATCACTTTATTGGGAAGTCCAATTATTTAAATCTCAGGTGGCTTTTATGGGGGGGGGGGGGTTCTCAAAAGAAGAGGATATTGTAGAATTGAACTAATTCCCCAAGAGGTCAAGAAGGGGAAGGGAGGAGAGACTGCTAGTACAATGGTGATGGCTTGGGAAAGGATGCAGCTATTAGGATGAAGAACAGGACTGGGCCATACAAGACAGAGGGGGAGGGAACAGATTAGGAACTGGCTACCCCAAAAATCAGATTGCTACCCTTCTGGACCCTCCACTATCCATATCCGACTTTTCCAGCCTTACCTGCTTTTTCCCTGTTCTACATTTCCAGCTATACTGAACTGCATACATTGTGCTAGTGCTTTCTGAATCTTTACTTTTACCATCCCTTCTGCCTACAATGGACTTCCCACCTCTTGTCAGTTTTCAAGTCCCTCCTTTCCTTTAAATCAAACTTAGATGCCATTCCCATCAGAAAATCTGCCTTCCCTCCACAGATCCTCACTCTCACCCCAAAAAATTATCTATCCTTCTTCAAATTTCTTGTAGCACTTTGCCTGGCCTTCTCCATTCTCTCTCCATTGAATCACAGCCTTCCTCCACTTTGGTTAAATTGTCAACTCCTTGAGATCAGGGTCTATCTCTGCTCTTTATATCCTCATTATTTATCATAGATCCTTGCACTTCGTAGGTGCTAAGCGTTCATTGAATTTGAACACTGGTCAAGGAAAGCTTCAAAGAGCATGCTGTATTTGTTTTGTCAGTGAAAGCAGTGAAATTCAGTCATTATCTGAGTTTGTCAACCCTAACTACCTTGAGGAACACCAAGAAGGACTCACACACCTGTTCACATTAGCCATATGCAACTCCACAAACATAGGAAACCCACTGCCCCATTGCTTTTTGTAAAGCCAACTTCAGGCTTGAATTGTATTCTGACAAGAACAAGGTTTTCTGCAAAGCACTGTCTGTGTTCTTTCTGTGTTCTGGAAGTTTTCTGATTGCCTCAGGCCCAAGACGATAAACTTCAGCCTGACTGTAGGTTGCATAGTTATAGTGACATCCCCAACCTAGTGCTCTTCTTTTCCTTTATATGCCTCATTTTTGGTCCCCTTAACGTGTAGCTTGGCTAATACTAAATTTCTCGGGATACTGTTTTGTTCTAGAAATCACTGCCCTCTAGTGGCAGATGACGTGTACAACTAGCAAATGGAAAAGTCAATGCTGCCACTGTTGGATTCCTGTGCAATCATTTCAGATATAATTGGTGCAGTTGCTGCATTGGCAACTCTGTGTTCTCTGTTTCAGCAGTCACTCCCCTCCCCTCCCCTCCCCTCCCCACCCCCTGCAGCTGCCCCCATGAGTTATGCTGCTGGGGGATTATTTTACTTGAGCCCTGGAATGATAATATATTTAACCCATTTCAACAAACATTTACAAAGTGCCTACCATGTTCAGGGCCTCAGGAAAAGACACAGAAAAACTTGCAATGTCATAGAGATAGATAATAGAAATAACGGTACTATATATACATATATATGTATACACGAGGCACTCACTCACGAGGTACTCAGAAGTCTCAGGAAAGAAAGTTAACAACCCACCAATGTCTGATGGTTCTGGAGCTGCTCAAAGGTTAAGCTACATTATCTAAAATCATAGAATCCTAAATTTAGAACTAAAATGGACCTTAGAGGTCATCTCTCTCATTTTGCAAATGAGGAAGTTGAAACTTGCCCCAAAGTCACATAGTCAGAGCCTGAATTCAAACTTAGTTTCTATGACTTTCCTTCCCCTGCATTATACCTTCTAATATATTGTTAAAACTGATCTGGGAAGCATTCCTTTTAATATTTTCTTTTTCCATAGACTAATGCTTCAGAGGCCTCGTATTGCTTCTAAAATAAAATTCTAACATTTGGAATTTAAGCCCCTTCACAATTTGGCTGCAGTCCGCTTTTCTAGGCTTACTACCTTTTTTTCATGCAATCTAAGTTCCATCCATCTCACCCCTTAGAGCTTTTGCACAGGCTACTTCTCCCCCTACCCCCCTCAGGATACTTTCTCTTCCCACTTAGAATCCTTTGTTCAATATTCAATTCAATTGACTCTATAGGAGGCCTTTCCCTATTAACCTCCCCCAGAAAACTGCTGGTGCCTCCCCAACTTTTTATATTTACTTCATATAGGTGTACATGTTTTCACTGATGGGATATAAAATCCTGAGGACAGGGACAGTTTTATTTTTATCTTTGTTATTCTAGGACCTAGTATAGTGCCTAGGAGTCACTCAAATGCTTGTTATCAAAGTATCAGTGAATGTCATTGTTAATCTTATTTAAATACCTTATTGATGACAGTCCTTGAACAGACTATGCTACCATAGGTAGCAGTTTAGATACAGTTTTTTGGAAGTTTCTAAGTTGAAAGATACTAATGAAAATACTATGTTAAAAAATGTGGCTGATCAATGCAAATCACCATAATGTTTTTCTGTGATCAATGCTTCAAACTTGTTAAGTGAAACCAAATCAGTTACCTCAATTGCTTTACTCCTCAGTCTCCTTTTTTTTGAAACAAATAGGACTTAAAAGTCAAGATTTCCCCAAATGAGTCACAGGTACTTCAAACCAGCATTATTTCAGCACTTCAGACAACTCTTGACCCACTGTTTGTACCTCATCCCCTCATTTGCTCATTGTAGTGATCTAGCTAGTAACCTCATCCTGACTCCTCTAACTTGAGACAGAATTTTTCTATAAATATCCCCCTTTTTTTTCTGTTCAGATACTTGAGGTTCTAGTGATTAGCCAGGAAAACTTTCACAACTTGCTAATGCAGTCAAAGAATGGGTGGAAAAGTATTTAAATGTCAAGCACTTAAGCTAAACTCAGGGGATACAAATCAAAAGTCAAGACAGTACCAACACTCAAAAGAGCTCACATTCTAATTGGGTGAGAAAATATAAAGGAGGGCTCAATTGGATGGCAGAAGGAAGACAGGTGGTACTTGGGATCTGGTAGGCAAAGTGACAGTGCCTGAAGGACTTGAAGGGACAGTGCTCAGGCCATGATCCCTAATCAAGAAGAGAATGGCTCTGAAGGGCAGAGGGAACTGGGACTCTGGGTTATCTTTGTGAGAAGTAAGGATAGTGGGTCTACATCCAACCAAAAGTAGACATTCAGCATCTAGTGGGAGCTGTGTAATGAGGATTGGAGAATTGGGTATGGGAGGGGGGTAAGGTGGGCGGGTTGTCAGGCTCTGAGTACAGCCCAATCACACAAGAAAA